ATTTGGTTTTAGGTGCACGTTCTCTTCCTCCTTGCTTGCAGATGGCTGCCTTCTCACGGTGGCCTCACATGGCTTTTCCTCTGTGCTATCAGGAAGGTGCTCTGGTGGCCCTTCTCCTTGTGAGGACACATGTCCTGTTGGATTATGACCTTATGATCTCATTTAACCTAACGATCTCCTAATTTAGGGACCTGTCTCCAAATGCACTCACAGCGGGAGTCAGGGCTTTAAAAATGGATTGGGCGGGGGAGAGCCACGCAGCTCCTTCCACACAGGGCTCCTTAAAAGGAACACTCCCAGCCCAAGCCTACCCCAGGCTGCAAAGAGCCCGGAGAAGCTGGGCACCCACTGTGAGCTGTGCTAACCCTGCAGCGGGGCTGGCGTGGGATCATTAATCACGAGGTTGCCACAGGGTGGAAAACGATGAGCCCTCAGATATCGCCGAAGATGAATGGGGACACTGACATGTGATTAAATTGGGATCCACCGCTGATGGCTGATGGCCCATTCCAAGTGCCAAGTGAGCACAGCCTGGCTGAACCCCTAGCATCCCCGTGGGCACCTGCCCCTCCTCCTGCCAAGGTCAAAAGATTTTCCCCTCCCACCACACAGCGTCTTGTCATCCCGGGCCCATGAGTGAGCGAGCGTGGGATGTAACAGGACCAGCGTAGGAGCTGGGAGCCATTGGGGGGGGGGGTTAATATCATTAGTCACCATTTCAGGCTGCCTGGCTCCTGTTAATCATTAATAATAATAATGAAAACTCTGAGCACTGGCTAGAGATCCTGCAGATGCATTTTCTCATTTCACATATCAAACCAGGGAAGTCAGAGTTAAATTAGTTGTCGAGGGACCCGGTTCTGGAGCAAACAGACAAAAGGACAAAGAGGAATTGATTTCTTCATTCTGCTGACCACTTTTAACTGAGCACCTACTAGTACCACATCTACCACAGTGAGAGAAAACTCACAAGGGCTTTGCCTTCATGGGGCTACATGCTACTCAGGGAATCAGATGAACAAATGAGTTCAGGGCCCAGACAGGGCCCAGTGGTAAAACGCATGCTCTGTGAGGCTGACCTGCAGGGGAAGGTTCTGGTTTTGCACCTGGAGACCTCCCTGAGTCCACTGGACATATGAATGCCCATGATCTGGGCTGGCTGACGCTGGGGCGAGTCAAAATATCAAGACCCTGTTTGGGGATGCTGTCTCTCTCTCTCACTCAAGACACAAGTTACTAAATAAACTTCAAAAGAAGCAGGTGGGATGGGAGCAGATGGTGGAGCAACAGTAAAATGCAACACTGTGAGGCAATCCTACACGGGAGTTTCTGGTGAAAAACAAAAACTAATTCGATAAGATATTGTTCTTCTTAGCATTTGCCATGATCCGATGTTAATTAAAGTGACGAGACAGAAAGCAGGAGAAGCAACTTCAGATGGGGTGGCCTTTTGGGATAAGGGACATCTGATCTGAGACCTGAAGGTGAAAGGAGCAGACCACGGCCGTAGCTGGGGGAAGAACACTAGGCAGAGGGAACAGCAAGTGCAAAAGTCCCAAGGCAGGGATGAGCGTGACATCTGAGGACCTGGAAGGAGGCTGGGGTTGACTCTGTAAAATGGGGGTGGGATGGGGATAGACAGTGGCACAGTGGTAAATGGGACACTGTGAGGCAATCCCACATGGGAAGGTTCCTGGTTCAAGTCCAGAGACCTGAGTATGCCAGGCACATACTTGCCCATGATCTGGGGTTGGCTGGAGCCGGGGGTGGGTGGAATGCCAATCTCTCCTTACTATGTCCTTTTGGTGTAATAAAAATGCACTTTTTCTGGTTCTGAGGCTATTTGTATTATGGGGAAGAGAAAGGAAAAAGAGAGACTAAAGAAGTAACCATCACCAAAATATTTTTATATCTGGATATTCAAGGCAAAGTAGTTCAGATTTATGATCTAAAATAATTAAGAGCTTGTATTTAAAAATTTTTCCAGAAAACATGTTTGCTTGCCAGAGACACAGAAAGAGAGAAGGAAAGTGAGAAAGCACCCCTATGGGAGATGACCACACTGCAATCTCTTCTCCTCCCTCTCTCCCTCCTTTTAAGGTTTTGGGCATGCATACACACGCACCTGGCATGGTTTTCAAACCACTGGGTCTAGGACTCAAACTATGAAGTCAGCCATGTGGGATCCAGCTGCCGTAGCCACCATGCCACCAGCTGGCCCAAGAGCTTGTGTCTTGATGCCAGCCTAATTCGCATCAAAATTTAATCCTGTTACTTATTACCTATGTGGACAACTAATGTTAACTTTCTGAGCCTTGATTTTTCTTTTTCACAGAAAGGGAATAATAATGTGTCTTACAGGGCTGTTATGAATATTAGTGGAGTTAATATATATAAAATACCTGGTTCAATGTAACAGTAACTGTTAACTGTCACCATCACCACCCAAACTAAGACACTAAAGTAGTGTTAAGATCATGTTTGTAAAACGTTGGCATCAGCAGCAACAGCATCACCAAGACGATCATTGTTACCATCATCACCTCCATCACCATCAACACCATCACCACTGTCACCACCATCAGCACAACCATTACTACCATCACCACTATCACTATCACCAGGATCATTACCACCATCATCACCACCATCAACACCATCACCATCAACACCATCACCACTGTCACCACCATCAGCACAACCATTACTTCCATCACCACTATCACCATCAGGATCATTACCACCATCCTCACCACCATCACCACCATCACCAACACCATCACCACTGTCACCACTATCAGCACAACCATTACTACCATCACCACTATCACCATCACCAAGATCATTACCATCATCATCACCACCATCATCACCACTGTCACCACCACTAGCACAACCATTACTACCATCACCACTATCACCATCAACAGGATCATCATCACCATTATCAACACCATCACCACCATCATCACCATCACCAACACCATCACCATCAACACCATCACCGCTGTCACCACCATCAGCACAACCATTACTACCATCACCACTGTCACCATCACCAGGATCATCACCACCATCAATACCATCACCACTGTCACCACGATCAGCACAACCATTACTACCATCACCACTATCACTATCACCAGGATCATTACCACCATCCTCACCACCATCACCACCATCATCAGTATTATTACCACCATTAAAACCATCACTGGCATTACCAAAATGATCAGTATCACCATTACCCATCACCACTATCACCATTATTACCATCATCACCCCGTCCCCATCACCACTATCACCATTACCACCATCATCACCACCTGACTAAGTGAAGTAAGCACCGTCAATGCTCATCCTTAGCCTCTCAGCACTTACCATTTCAGTGGACAGTGGCTAATTTTGAATTACCAGTATCTGTATCTCTTTACTTGAGTGCTTTTTTTGGCAGTCAAAGTCCACTACGCCTGTGCTCAGGCAGGCTGGAGGTGCCAGGGAACAAATGCCCAGCCTCCCAGGAGCTGCGTAAACACCAGCTGTCTTCTCCCTGGGTGGGCATAGCTCTGATGGACATCTACACTCTTCTCAGAGTTCCCTGGTAGAATGAGTGGCAACTGGCTTGATGGTGCAGCTTTGTCTGGGCTTCCTCCCCTTCACAGTCTCTCATCTCCACTCTCTGTGTTTCCTGGGATCACCACTAAATCTTTGCCTTGGGTTCTGCTTTTGGGTGAACCCAAACCTAAAACATTGGATTCTTGTGAGGATTCTTCCCCAGGGCAAGGGAAAAGAGAAATGGTAAAACCTGGGACCACAGGAGATGAGATACTCGGGAGGATCCCAGAGCTGTCTCTGCACCCCTCCAGCAGCTGCTCTCATAACTCCAACCCACCCAGTCTGGAATTCCCTTTCTGGCCCCTCTGCAGGTTCGAGGTATGGCCAGATTATATATGTATATATGCACACATGTGTGTGTGTGTGTATATATATATATATAGTTTAGTTAGCTTTGCAGAGGACGGTGGCAGTGACTGGTAGTGACTGGTTCACTTACTTGTTCTCTCTTCAACTCCATCACTTACATACTGTATACAAGCTTAACTATTATG